CAGTCCCAGGTCACATGCTGCCCACTTTGGAGACGTTCTCGCGGGGGCCATAGGCGCCTAACCTACTGGAAGAAAGTTCCCGGGCCCCTGGGAAGCGACGGGTCACACTCCCCGGAGGTTGCAGGGTGGAGGGTGGAGGGTGGGGGCAGGGGACGGCCTTACCGGCGGGGTTCCGCTCAAACTCGCACCCCGGCCGGGCAGCGGCGAAGACCAGGACTGTGAGGAGCAGCAGCGGCGGCGGGGGCGGCATGGTGGGGCGGCGGGCCTTGGACGGCCGGCGCAGTGATGTGGCACTCGGGCCGCGCGGGCCGGGGATCTGCGCTTGCTGGGCTCCCGCCCCCGGCGCAGGGAGGGCGCCCCAAACGCAAATGCCGGAGTCGGGTTACAGTGGGCAGCGCCAGAAGCCAGAGGGAGGATGCCGCTGGGGGAGGAGGAGGGGCAGGACAGCAGATAAAGGCCCTGCCTGCCCTGGGTGGGGTGCTCCGCCCCCTCCAAAGGTCTCCCTGCCCCTCCTTGGGACTCAGTTTCCCCATCTACCACCTGAGCGCACTGTGGAGCTGATCCGCAGATTCCCTGCTGATCCTGCCTAAAACCCCTGGTCCCGGGCACAGTCTGCATCTGCAGGTGGAGGGGCTCTGGCTGTAGCCCTGACCCCAGCTGACCAGGGCCTGTCAGGTGAGGAAAGTGAAGGCATGTCCCCACCTGCTAACCCTTGTCCCCGGTGTGGATGCCGGGGAGGGGGCTTTGCTGGGCGGCTGGACCTTTAGGAGCCATGTACCTCATGGGTCCTTTACCAGCTATGCCAGTGCACCAGTACCAGGCCCCGGAGCCAGTTGCCACTCAGCCCTGAGACTTAGGACAAGCCCCTTTGCCCAGAGGCTGGTGTAATGGAGACAGTACTCACAGTGGCCCAAATCATCGCTGGCACCCAGCAGGTGCTGCTTCCTGTGGGTCATCTGCTTGAAGATGCCCATTTCAACACCCCCGGGGATCTGGGGCGTCTGGTGCTCAACGCTGCCCTGTCTGCCTGGACTTGGCTGGGTCCTTCCGGAAGCACCTCTGACTGCCCTGGCCGGCCCATGGGGCTGCCCTGCAGGACAAGCTTCTAGGAGAGAAGCCAGTTCGTGTCGTCAAAAGAGCACGGACTCACTGTTCACAGGATCTTGAGCCGGTGGCCTGGCCTCCTCCAGGCTGGGAGCTCTCCACTGAGAAACAGCGACGTGCTCACCTTGGGGCTCATGAGGATGGGGTGGGGGCAGCATGGCAGCCGGGAGGAGTCCATCAGTGGTTGGAAGCCAGCTCCACAGCTGGACATGATGCGTGTGTGCCGGCATCCTCAGCACTTGCTGCGCAGCGGGTGCGGGCGATAAAAGTGGATCTGACGCCTCTCCTACCCACCCCACGGCTGGACCCTTGAGAGGGGTGCTGGGGCTGTGAGAGCCTGAAGAGGGAGGGTTGTGTCAGCCTCGGTCAGGTGGAAGGACTTGGCTAAGCAGAGGAGGAGGAAGTACTAAGAGAAGGCCCAGAAAGGATGCAGGCTCCCCAGGGAGGGGCCAGTAGACTAGAGCACCCAGCACTTTAGCCCAAGACCGTGTGGATAGGAGTGAGGAGCAGTGGGGACAGAGAACAGAAAGGGCCAGCAATGCCAGGCTCAGGAGCAGAGACCACAGGCTCTGGCAGGAGCACAACCTGCTCTTGGCTGCATTTCCAGGAGCTCGCTCTGCTTGGTGGAGGGTGGGTGAGAGGAGGGGCTGCTTCGCCAGGGACCAGGAAGGGCTCTGGAGGCTTGGCCATGGATGGGTGTCCAGGTGAGGCAGGAGGAGGGTGAGGGTCAGCAAGCGCAGAGGGGATGGAGAGAGGGCTCCTGGCTCAGAACCCCTTCTGGCCCAGGTTTGCACCCCGTGTGAGCAGGAGGGAGGCTGGGGTGAACGAGATCATGGTCTCAAAAGGACAAGAAGGCAAGCTGAGTGAGAGGACTGTCACTCTGGGCTCCCATAGGGCCTCCCTCTGCCTCACCCGTCATGGAATGCTGCAGCCCTCTGACAGATGGAATCAATAAAAAACTCCTGGTCCCCCAAATAAAATAAATGAGCAGTTATGTCCTTCAAGTTGCCTGCCAGCCTCACAGTCTCCATGGCTCTCTGCTTCCCGCCCACCCATGGGAAAGCCTCCCAAGCTTGTAGCTCCACCGTGAAAACAACAGGAGAAGCCTCCCTCACTCGGCCGCACACAGGGCGCAGGGCCTAGCCTGGAGGTCTTGGAAGCCCAGCAAGGGATTGCATGCAAGCCCAGGCATCTAGAAAGCTCTGCTCTCCTGGTAATTGAATGGTGGCTAATGAGAGGCAGAATTCCCCCCTTTCCATGGAAATGAGACACCCTCTGAATAAGATGTTTATTGATTCATAGCATTCGTGAGACCCAGCATCATTCTGCAACACATTTAAGTGCACATGAAAAGTATCTTTCAAATTACAAAAAAAAAAAAAAAAAAGGCCCCATGCCTAAAGCAAGGGACAGCCCAGCGTGGGAGCCACATGGGCTGACGGAGAAGGGCGGAGGAAATGCCTTAAGATGCCTGTTCCAGAACATCCCATGGAGCTTCCGAGGAAGGCGAAACATGACAGCAAGCAGTCCCCGTCTCTAATAAACAGCGTGCCTCCCTCTAACCGTGGTGCCTTCCAGCAGGGCAGGGTGCACGCATTTCCTTGAGTGGCGCTAAAGCAGTGACAAAGCATTTTAGCCTGGCGGAGACGCAATAACACGGAGGGTAGGCCCCGCCGGCTGCCAGGCTCCTTGCACCTGGGGAGCTCCCAGGGACAGGAGAGGGCTCAGCCAAGGAGCTCACAGCCTGGGCTCTGGAGCTTTAGACAGCGGGGACCAACCTGCTTCTGTTGTGCGAGTGCCCTCCCTTGTAAGCACAGGGGCACCGGGGTGCAGCAGGGTCTCGAGTTCACGTGCCCTCTGCGAACCAGGGCCTGACGCCCACCTGCCCCACCTCCTGCCTGGAACCCCTGGGTTCAATTGAACTGGCCAGGTCTGTGTTTTAATGTTTTTAACTGTTTAATGGTTAGTTGCTATTATTCCAAACAATACTTTGTTTTATTTGAATTACACTTCATGATTTACAAACATTTTTAAATTTATCCTTTTGAGGAAGGCATTGGCAAGTCAGCAAATAACACCTGGTTTTGGCTGGGCGCAGTGGCTCATGCCTGTAAGCCCAGCACTTTGGGAGGCTGAGGTGGGCGGATCACTTAAGCTCAGGAATTCAAGACCAGCCTGGGCAACAAAGTGAGACCTCCATCTCTACAAAAAAAAAAATACAAAAATTATCCAGGAATAGTGGCCCATGCCTGTGGTCCCAGCTACTCAGGAGGCTGAGGTGGGAGGATGGCTTGAGCATGGGAGGCGGAGGTTGCAGTGAGCTGAGACTGCACCACTGCACTCTAGCCTAGGCAACAGAGTCAGACCCTGTCTCAAAAAGTTGTTTTAAAGTACAATAATAACACCTGTTTTTTGGAAAAGACTCTGTGAAGCCACCTCAGCTGGGTTCTGCACTGTTAATGCCAAGAGCAAGTGACAGCCGCATGTGTCTTTGAAGAATTCGGCCTCTGGAAGGAAATAATTTGATGTCCACGCTCTCCCTGCATTGCTGGCCTTGGGTGTAGGGTGTCATGATACAGGCTCCACGCCTGCAAGAGCCCACGGGTGAAGCCCATCAGAGAGTCCCATGAGGCAGGGGCCTGAGGTCTTGCAGTCCACCCTACCCCTGCAGGGGATGGCTCTGGGCCTTGAAGAAAACAGCAATGACAGAAGCTGAAGAGAGAATCGTGTCCATTCATTCACTCGCTCACTCATTTATACACACACCTCTCCACTGGGGGCCCATGTGCACTGTGTACTATTCTTTCCCTGAGCTGTGAAATAGGACAGATGTGCACAAAAGTCCTCAACACTGTCCCATGGGGACATTCAATGTCATTGATGGTGGGTGCCCCCACCGAGGAATGGCACCCTGTGATTACTAAACTGGGGGTAATACACACGGCTACTCAGGGACACTCCACCTTCTCTTGGCTCCCCCAGCACTGCTGCTGGGGAACAAGGGCCCTCCCCATCCTGGGCCACCCTCTCTGGACACCTGGGCCCTGGCTACTACTTCAATCTCTTGACCATCTCAAGTCTAGGATCCAGAGGCCCAGAGGTGGCCTTCAGGGGCAGGAAGCAGAGGTCATGTGCTCTGATGATATCGTCACCAGAAAAGGCTCTGAGCACACAGACTCCACATCCTCCCCAGTCAAGATGCCAAAGCCCTGGCAAACCACGGAAAAGGAGGCAGGAGACAGGCTCCATCTGCTTGCCCACACAGGCAGTCACAGAGGACAGGCCTGGAGCTGGGGACCTCTAGGCTTCCAGAGATGGGCACGTCCCAGGGACCGCCTGTGCCTGCCGGGCCCTGACCACAGACTATCAGATGTGAGCTCTGGGAGCCCCCAACCAGACTCTGTCCCCGCATTTATCTCCCAAACCTGGGCAATGCTGAGAACAAATCAGAACAATGCTAATAACCAGGTGGGAGTAACAGGTGTCCACCGGGGCTGCAGAAGAGACTCTGAGCAAGCGTGACCACCTCACCCACATGAACAGCAGTCACTCATAGGATGCCCACGGGTACCACGTGCCACACAAGACGCTTCCCTACCCACCATCTGCAAGCATCGCCACGACCCCAGAACAAGGGCGAGGAAGCTGCGGCTCAGAAAGTAAGAACCGCTGTCCCGGGCCGACCAGCAGCCAGGTGGCCGAGCCTGGAGCTCTCCTCCCCTGCTCCTGCTGTCCACACCCACATCTGGCCCTCTTCTCTTCCTCCTGTACTTCAGCCTCAGCTCAAAGTCAAGCCGCCCGTGTCTGGGGGTTCCCCAGTGGCGTTTCTGTGGCAGGGCCAGTGCCCTTTCCACAGGGTTTCTTAGAAGGTGGGGCGGATGAGCCCTGCCAGGCCCTCAGTGTGTCTGCTGCAGGCAGGAATCATTCTCTGCGTCCAGGGAGCTGTTGTGGGTGGACGCCGGGTGCGGGGTTCTCTTCAGCACCTGCTGCACCATGCTGGCCAGGTCCAGGGAGCTGTTGTGGGTGGACGCCGGGCGCGGGGTTCTCTTCAGCAGCCGGCGCGCCATGCGGGCCAGGACTTGGCGGAACGACCGGCGGAGCAGAGAGTACGTGAACGGGTCGGCCGCCGCCTTGCTGTAGGCCAGGCACTTGCTGAGGATGCCCCAGTGGGCGTTCACGGTGACGAAGGGCGCGAGCTCCGCCAGCCTGTTGGGGAAGTGGAGCAGCTGACTCAGCCACAGTGACAGCACCCACCACACACTCATGCTCCGGGACGAGGCTTCTGGCCAGCGGCAGCACAGCCTGAGGTGGGGGCCACAGAGTCAGGACAAGTCACACCGCAGCCCTGACGCTCACTAGCCAGGGGGCTCTGCGCCAGCACCCTGAGCCTCGGTCTCCTCTTCCTAAAACTGGATTACAAGGCCGGGTCCTGGGACTGCGGAGCAAGCCGACATCAGCCTGCATACAGCAGGTACTCAGTAGTTGGCAGCACCGCCACCGTCACCCAGGCCTTCTCCCACCATCCTCACTCTCAGCTCAGTCCACCCACCTGCGTGCACACCTGCCGCGGACACCTGCACACAGAACCAGCCACCGAGGGAGCCATTACCACTACCATGCTGCAGACCGAGACACCCCAAATGTGAGCACTGGGAGCCCCCAACCAGACTGGCATTCATCTCCCAAACCTGGGCAATGTTGAGAACAAATCGGAACAACACTAATAACCAGGCTGGAGTAACAGGTGTCAACCTGGGCTGCAGAACAGACCCTGAGCAAGCGTGACCACCTCACCCACATGAATCGCAGTCACTCACGGGATGTCCTCGGGCACCATGCACCACGCAGGGTGCTTCCCTACCCACCCTCTCGAAGCATCACTCAGAGAGGCTTGATGGCGTCTCTAGGACCATCAGGCATACAACTCCCAGAGGAAAGGCTCAGTCCCACATTCTGAGTCTGAGCCCAGTGCTTTTCTGAAATCAGACTAGAATTCAGAGTGGAAGGGACTGGGCTCTGCGTGGGGGAAAGCAGCAGGGGGCTGGGCCTCTGGGGACTTGGATGGACCCCTTCGCTCTCAGTACAGCCTGGGCTAGGGGCCACAGAGTCAGGACAAGGCTTCTGACAGCTGTCACAAGTGCATGTGCTGACCAGTGGCAGCCGTTCCGCTTCCCAGGTCCTGGCTTTGAACCAAGGCCCCCAAACGCCAGGGCTTTCCCCATCAGCCTGATGACCCCCCAGGCGGTGAATTTCTGTCCCAGAATGTCCCACCCCCCACTCAGAAGGACTGCAGCCCTGTGATTTACAAGTTTGGTTGGGTCACTCATTAGTTTGGAGACCACCTGCTAACCACCCACAAACACAGCAGCTGCTGGGGTGCAGCAAGGATCAGACTGACTCCCTCCCTCCAGGGCACCCAGTCCAGCGGGGTGGGGATGAGGAGGCGGGCAAGCAGGCAGGCAGCCACCTCAAGCTGAGAAGCAGGGCCACAATGTGAGGACAGGGAGAACTGAGGGGTGTGGCCAGAGGAGAGGCATCCAGAATCCAAAAATCAGAGCAGGGACACAGATCCAAGGCAGTCATGGCCCTAATCACCTACCCCAGGCTGAGGTGAGAATCCAGTTACAGTAACCAACAGTCCGCAAAGGACTTTGCCACCGGCCAGCATATGCACATCAGGTACACTGTCACCCCCACGTCCACGAAGCCCACCATCAGGCATGGACTGGAGACTGCTCACAGCCAACCATCAGGCAAGTGGGAAGGAGGGTCCTATCGAAGGATCTGAGAAGCATGGCATTTCTTTCAGTCACTAGGGGACTGAGCTGCAGGTGAGTAAGAAAGCCACACATGGCAGAGTGTCTATCCCCTAGTTAAGCCACAGTGCAGGTGGAAGTCATAGAAACACCCAGCTGAGGCTGTGTCTGGAGTCACACTGGGACCAGAAGTCGTGTGTCAACCACCAGCATTCCAACTAGCCACAACCCTGCGGAGAAGGGGGCTCGCTCACGTGTCCACTGATGCTCAGCACCTGGTGACCGTATCCATCTGCCCTCCCCGGACCCCCACAGTAGACCACAGACTCCACAAGGGAGGCTCTGTATCCCCAGCCTCCTGGTCTCATGCACACCCCAGGGACTTCATCTGCACCATGGATTAAGTCAGTAAAACTCAAGAGTGACAACCAAGAAACAAAAGAAAAATCCTATATTCTGCATCTCCTTTACCTACTTTATCCACATGAACTGGCTCAAGGTGACTTTGAGTTATTTCTAAGCAGATTAAATTCACCTTCCAGATGTCCACAGAAGAGTCTAACAATGCATCCCAGTTCTGAAAACAATTCCCAGGAGAAGAGCTCTGAAATATTTTTAGCAATTGCAGAACAATTGGAACGAGTGCACTACCTTCTAAGGGGCAGCAGGGACAACATGCTCCTGGATCTCTGACTCCCTGTGGGTTAAGCCAACTGCATTAGAACCTCGTCCACACACTGGGTGGAAGCTCCGGCTGGAGCCTCAGGGCAATAACGGAGTGAGGTTCTGATTCGGTTCATTCCTATGATGTGAGAGGCGCCTGTCAGGCAAACCCTCCAAACTCTGATCCAGCTGTGCTGCTCCCAGGCTCCATCCCCCAAGGCCCCTCCCCCACTGAAACACCTGCCTGGTCTTGCTGACCTGCATCTTCCGCCATCAGAACCAAGAGGAGCCTGTGTTCCATTTGATTCTGTAACTGCAGGACCAGGCACAAAGCCCAGCACAGAGTAGGTGCTCATTAAATGTTTAACGAGTGCGTGAAGAAATATGTATCCTCATTAATGCTATATTGTACCCACGTTTTTCACGGAGAAGAAAGCCTGAGCTGCCCAGATCCCAGAGTTGGTAACAGCATTGTGGAAACAATGCTGCAAAGGCAGGCTTCATGACTTTGTTTGGGATTCTTCCTTTTAACACTTGCGTGCACGCTCATCGCTATGCATGCTTACACACACGGTCAGGGCCTTGTACACATGCGGGAAAATAATGGTTACACCCATTAATCAACATAATATCATGGCTGAGTAAGCCGGTCTCACTCATCATTCACTTAAAATTTCAAAACGAAATGCTGGAGCTCCGGAAATGTTAGCACTCACCTTCTACATGTATGTGCATACATGTGCATGTATGAATACACACATGAAACCTCCCAACATACACCTGCATGCATGAGCAGGCACATGGGCACACATACACACAAGCACAATAATCAGATAAATAGCTAGTTCCCAAGAGAAGGACACCACAGTTTCTCCATCCACACTTGTGCCCATGAAGTTTCCTAAGAACCGGAGGCCTTTGCCAGGTTTTATGTGAGCAAGGAGGGTGCCTGTGATCCACAAGAAACCTGGCTGTCTGTCCCTAAGCCAGATGGGATCGGTGGCCAAGAGCTCCTGTCCCAAGTGCTGATTCCAAAGAGCTCAGAGGGAGCCTAGTAGGCAGGACAGAGCTGGTGCCACTCATCATGGGCACTCTGGGACCTCCCAGGTTCCTGGGACACAATTGTTGCCCCCCACACACACAACATACCTAAGCACCCCAGTGACCTGGAAAGACAGGCGGGCATCCTGGACAGACCGGCAGACCTTGTGAGGCATTAGATAGCAACCCCGGGAGGACCCTACACAAACAGAGCCAGAATCCTGGTACCATACTCTCTGCTGGCTCCCTCCCCTGGGGTGGGGACCTGGGCCCCTTGAGGATGAGGGCCACGGACCCCTCCCAGGAGCTTCTTCCTTCAGGGCAGCCTCCTGCGGTGGCTCAACACGTAGGGTGGAGACCTCCCAGCCAGCCTGAGTGCTGCAGAGGCCTGGCCAAAAATTCCATGGAGCTTCCAAGAAAGGCAAAACATGATAGCAAGCAGTCACCCTCTCTAACGAACAACGTGCCTCCCTCTAACCATGTTGCCTTCCAGCAAGGCAGGGTGCACACATTTGCTTGAGTGGAGCTAAGGTAGTGACCAAGTGGCCAAGTGGGTGACCCAGGAACCCCGGAGGCAGAGACTGCAGACTCCCCTGCCCCTCAGCACCGCACTGGGACAATGGTACCAGCAGAACCTTTACCCACAATCTTTCCCAAATTACCTGTGACTCCAGGTAATTCTGACCTGACAAGCACTCAGGCCAAGGTCTCCAGGAAAGAGAGGAGCAAAAAGAACACTCACCTGGCAGCGTTATCGCCCTGAGGCTCCAGCGGGAGCTTCCACCCAGATTCCCGACTCCACACCCAGGAGATGCGGAGTCTAAGGTCTGGGTTAGTCCCAGGTTGCCTGATTTTGAAAGCTTCCTCGGTTTAGAGAGCCAGGTGCTGATTCACAGACCCCATATCTGCCTGTGCCTGGACAAGGCGAGTCTCCTCATTTATAGGACAGGATGGGGGCCAGTGCCAGCTCTCTCCAAGGGTCTTTCCCAGGAGCTGCCAGCACAGCCCCCAGCCTGTCAGGTGTGGAGGAGGGTCCTGTGGTGATGGCCACCCTCCCAATACCCGGCTGGGAGACCTCAGAGTCCTACTCAACTGAGGCCAAGCCCTCCCAGCTGTTCCCACGACAGGAGCCGGACTCGGGACCCACCTGGTCACGACATACGGGGCAAAGCAGATGAGGAAGCTCGCAATAGAGATGCCAATCTTCCTGGTGGCCCGGTGGCGGCGCCGCTTCTGCTGGATGAGGCAGCGCTGCCGCACACTGTGGGGACAAAGGACAGTGGTCGGGATGATGGCAGGGTGGGGACAGAGCCCAGGCCCAGAGCCCAGGGGCCGAAGTGAGGGCAGACAGGAGGGTTTCAGGATGTTTAGCCTGGAACCTCAAGAGGACAGAGGGATGGGGGAGAGAGAAAGAACAATGAAATGAGGTAGGCTTGCTTTTTTGTAGGTGAAATAAAGGAAGACTGGAAAGAAGGGCCAGCTCCTCCTCCTTTCCCTCCGGCTCATCCTTCTCCACACAGAGGGAACTGAGGCAGGCCTGCTGATGGAGGGGCAAGGCTGGGGCCCTCAGGGAGGGAGAAGTTACCTGGTCTGCCCACCCTGGGAGGAGAGCCTCTTGGGGGTTCTGTGGGGGGCCGAGGGCAAAAGGGGAACACCCTACGGGAGGTAATTTGGAACAATGGCAACACTAGCTAGAGATTCAGGAGACAAATCCTGCCAACTAGTGAGCAGAAAGGATGGGGGATGGACCGTGCTCAAGACGTGAAGCCCAGGGCCATGCAAGGGTACTGGGTCAGCAGCAGGCAGAAACAAGCAGATGCCTCAGACCCACAGCTACTCCATAGAAGGGGTGTGTCTGGCCGTCCACAGCAGAGCCCGCGGAACCCCTCCCGGAGATGCATACCCCACCGCTCTGCGCAAAGTTCCCTGTGCGCTGTGAGCACATATCCAAGGAGGCAGAGGCCCCCACGGTGTCTGCACCAATGAACCAACTGGAAACCCCCGCGAGCAGCATGCAGGGGCAGTGCTATGGCTGGTGAACTCTGGGCGGAGTAAAGGTGATGATGCCCACAGGCTACTCGAGCCAACTTCCCAGGGAGCACCTGAGTCCCTGGCCTGAGCCGGTCGGCATGCACTGGGCCAATACCTGGGGTGCAGGTCGGCAAGCAGCATGAGCGCCTTCATGGTAACGATATCCATGCGCTGGCAGTGGCTGCGCGCCACCCGGTGCACCCGGAGCGAGGTGAGGCAGAGCACCGCCAGCGGCAGCGCGAAGCCCATGGCATGGAGTGTGGCGGTGAAGGCTGCGAAGCGCGGGCGCTCAGGCTCGGGTGGCAGGCGCAGCGAGCAGGACGCGAAGGCGCTGCTGTAGCCGAGCCACGAGCAACCAAGAGCAGCGACCGAGAAGACCAGCGACTGTCCCCAGGCACAGCCCAGCAGCAGGCCGGCATCGCGCGGTCGCAGGCGTCCAGCGTAGCGCAGCGGGAAGCCAACGGCCAGCCACTGGTCTGCGCTGAGCGCCGCCACGCTCAGCGCCGCGTTGGACGCCAGGAAGGTGTCCAGGAAGCCGATGGCTTGGCACGCGCCGGGCGCCGACGGTGGCCGCCCGCGCATCACACCAAGCAGCGTGAAGGGCATGTCCAGCGCGGCCAGCAGCAGGTGGCCCAGCGACAGATTCACCAGGAGGACGCCCGAGGCGCGAGTGCGGAGCTTAGAGCTGTAGGCGCAACAAAGCAGCACCAGTGCGTTGGATAGCAGCGCCACAGCCAGCACCATCACCAGCAGCCCCGCCAGCAGGGTCTCGCCGAGGCCCATGGCGCTAGCGTCTCTGCAGGCACCCTGAGGTTCTCATGGCTCTTCTTCTGGCGCGGGCCTGAGAAAGTGCAGCGATGGAGTGGCTGAGCGGCACGCCCACAGCTTCTGGGAGGTGCAGACCCGGCCAGCAAGGCCCAGAGCGGCGCGAGGAAAGCTGCGGCAAGTGCGCTGTCCGGGATACCCGGGCGGAGGGCGTTGCTCTTCCGAGCGGGAGCAGCCCGGGGCCGCCCTGGAGGCAGCGCAACCGCGGTGCTGTCCAGGGTGCTGAATGCGCTCACCGTCCCGGCAGGACTGTCCTGAGGCTGAAGCGAGGCTTGGGGGCGCGGGGCGTAGGAGCGAGGGAGGTCTCTTTGCTGACACTGTATCTTTCCTTCTTCCCTCCTTGTAGCGTGGCAGGATGGGACTCTGGGCTCTTCTGCTCTGGGCCAGGTCTGTCCCTGCCCTGGTCACACCTCCAGCCGAGCCTTCCAGCGCTGGTTCATGCGCAGTTGAGACGCCAGCGAGAGCCACTAGGTGGATCCTAGGCTGCACAGCCCTCACCACGCCTCTGCCCCCAGGCTCTGGCACCAAACTGGAGCGACCTGGTGGCTTATAGGGGCGGTAGGGGCGGTGGGGGCAGGAATGAAGTGGTGAGAAGCTGTGCAGGCGGGGCAGAGGGAGTGACGGGGCGGGGGCGGGGGCGGGGGCGGGAGTTGCCCTCAGGACTTCCCTCCCATCCCCCAGCCTCAGCCCAGGAATTGTGACTGCATTGACGTTTGTTGAAGCAAGAAGGGCGACAAGTGGAAACAAGGTTGAGAGAGGCATGGGGGAAGGAGAGAGAGGAAGGAGAAAAAGCAAAGAGGAGAAGAGGAAGTGGGGGGAAGAGGGAAGAGCAGAGAAAAGCAACAGAGGGAGAGACAAAGAAGGGGGCCCCTTGAGAGGACCCACCCAGAACAGGGTGCCGTACAGAAATGCCTGTCCTTCGTCTGGCTCCTGGAGCCCCGCGGTGCGAGGTGCGTACCCCTCCCACCTCTGCCATCCCCTGTGATGGCTTCTGAGCCTTCTCACCCGGTGGGAGTCTTCCAGTCCATTCGTGGCCAGTTGGCAGGACAAGGATATGGTGAAGGCTCCTGGAAGCTGCTTCTTCCAGGAAGCTTTTTGACATTTTCTCCCCAGTGGCAGCCACAACATGACAGAAATGAAGGGCAGACCATTGCCCACCCCTCCCCACACCCACCCTCACCTGCAGGCTCTGCCAGCCCTTTCTGAGGGACAAAGGGTGGCTGTGGGGTGGGGGTTCACCCGTGGGCCTCTCTTGTACCAGTGCTGCAAAGTGGCCAGGGGAAAAGCCACAAGTACACAACTGGCCTCCTGCAGCACCCCCGGCTGTGTGCCTTGGGCACATTACTCAAACCCCTTGGGCCTCACTGTCAGATTCTCATCTGTCAGGTGGGGATATTAATAGCTAGCAATAGCATCTGCCTGTGGTGGTTGCTGTTAGGGTTAAATTGGCCAACATGCACAAAATGCTGAGAACATCCCAACAGGCAGTGAAGGATCAGAACAAAGTCAGCCTTTATTAAGGGGCCCATCTTATAGCTGTGCAAAAGAAGTTTCATTCAAGTGTCTGTGCCAAGTCCCCATAACTGCAAACCAGGAGTGCCGAGATTCATACCTCAGTCCTTCTGGCTCTAACTCCAATGTCCTTGTCATCCAGAGGCCATCACACCAGCTCCAAGCCATTGCCATCCATCAAATGCAGTGGCTTTCTCTCTCCCCATTTCTCCCTGGCACCCCCACCAAACTGCTTTCAATTTTCACCAAATTAGACCTTGCCTGAAGCCAGAGCAGCCATGTCAAAGTTTTCCTGACATGCCCAGGAAGAGTGGGCCACTCTGAAGCTTCTGCAGGTCAGGCAAGGTTGCAGGGGAATAGCTTGGACAAAGTGACTGTGATGGTGGCGGCTTGACAGCAGGGGCCTCCCCCAACCCCTCCAAGGCTTCTGAGTGACCGTGTGCAGCTCTGGGGAGCAGTGGAGGTGCCAGGTGACTTCATGGGGAGACTGGTCTAGCCACTCACCGAAGCCTCTGTTATCCCTCAGCTACTCCAAAGGGAGACAATTCCACTTGCAGGGGAGCAGAGAGCATCTCTTCTGAGACATGAGTGTGGGGAAGCGCCACCAGCCTGTATTATGAAAGACAGGCCATTCGCTCATCTGCAAGGATGTACTGGGCACCAGCATGAATGAGAAAATGTGTGCGGTGAGATCTCTGGACTCTGGTGGGAGCACCTTGATAGGTCTAGGTCTGTTCTGTTTGCCGCTCTCCCCAAAGCCCCAGCACTCCTGGCCTCAGATCTTGCCAGCCTGGCTGCCCCCCTTCCCTGGGTTGTAGGGGGTGGTTTTGAACCCTGTGGTCTTCTCAGTATACTATCATTTAATCTTCTTACACTCAAATCTCATTCCTGATGAAAAATTTAAATCCTCTGTAGGGTGAAATGCTGGACCTAATCCATTTATCTTCCAAAAAGAAAAAGTATATTAAAATATTAAATATTTTCACCACTTCTTTAAAACATAAGGCAGTACTCCTGACTATGCCATCCTGCCCATTCTTGCTGAGATACGCATTGCAACGATGAAGTTCAGGATTGGTTCCCAAAGGCTCCTCCCCTGCCTAGTGATAGTTAATGGTTCCCCATTGCCTATGAAATTCCTTAGTGACCCCTCCAAGTCTACCTAAATCTGGTCTCCGCCACTCATGCTGGGCCCTTTGCTGTTGCTGTCACTCACACACACAAAGACACACACACACACACACAGGCAGGCACACGCATGCGCGCACACACACGCACACAGCATTTAGCCACATCTCCATTACTCATCACCCATGCACTTAACCCACACGACCTGACTTTGTCTGTGTCGCTGACTTGGCCTGAATGCCCTTTCTGCACTTTCCTTCTCATCTACTCCTCCTCTAAGACAAAGCTCTGCTAAGCCTTCCCCTGTCAGCCAGGGAGAGCCACACCTCCTCAGAACACCTGCCGAGATTTTCATCTCAGCCCCAGTAGAAGTGCTGGGCTGAGATGAAGTGCAGAGGCTGAGATGCCTCTGCTGCTTAATTAACGCAAATGGCTTAATTGTTACCTCATCTGAAAAACAGGGGCAGGAAGACCCATCTTCGAGGGGTGCAGTAAGAATTAAATAAGGTTACATTCAATAAAAGAAATAAGCTTAGTACTAAAATAAGTTCAAATAAAATCAAATGAGCTCAGTTAGCCATTATTCTTTTCCCTTCTTTCTCATTTTTCCTCCCCAGTTGCATGTAACAAGCTGTCGGTGTATATCTGTGGAAATGAAGTTGTCATTAGTGACAGCACTCCAACATGATGTAATTGATACAATTCACTTGTCTCACAAAATAAGCTTGTTATTTCTCTTGGGGGGCCAGGGTGCTTGTGTTGATCAGATCTGACTTTGTCCACATCTTCTCTCTGCTCAACAAAGTGAAGGAATCAAGCCTTGTGTGATCCGTATAGTCTGCTGTGTCCAGCACGTTCTCTTGTACATGCTGGGTACCCAGTACATCCTTGCAGATGAGTGAATGGCCTGCCTTTCCATAATACAGGCTGGCAAAGCTTCCCTGTGCTCGTGTCTCAGAAGAGATGCTCTCTGCTCCCCTGCAAGTGGAATCGTCTCTCCGTGGAGTCATTGAGAGGTGACGGAGCTGCTGTGAGTGGCTACACCAAAGTCTCCTTCTGAAGCCACCTGACACCTCCACCACTCCCCAGACCTGCACACACATGGTCACTTAGAAGTCTTGGAGGGACTGGGGGAGCCCACTGCTATCAAGCCCCGACTGCAGGAAAGCATCTGGAAGGAACAATCTGGCATATTAACAAAAATGATTGCTCATAGACAGGCAGAAAAGGGAAAGGAGGAAGATGGAAAGACAGGGAAATGAATGAAACTCCCAACAACAGGAAGGCGGCAAGTGCGTGATTCTATTCCCCTAGAGCATAGCACTGCACCACCATTAAAAAGCAGGTGCCGGCCGGGCACAGTGGCTCGTGCCTGTAATCCCAGCACTTTGGGAGGCCAAGGCAGGTGGATCAGGAGTTTGAGACCAGCCTCACCAACATGGTGAAACCCTGTCTCTACTACTAAAAAAAAAAAAAAAAAAAAAAGTACAAAAATTAGCCGGGCATGGTGGTGTGCACCTGTAGTCTCAGTTACTCAGGAGGCTGAGACAGGAGAATCGCTTGAACCGGGGAGGCGGAAGTTGCAGTGAGCTGAGATTGTGCCACTGTATTCCAGCCTGGGTGACAGAGCAAGATTCCATCTAAGAAAGAAAACGAAAGGAAAGGAAAGGAGAGGAGAGGAGAGGAGAGGAGAGGAGAGGAGAGGAGAGGAGAGGAGAGGAGAGGAGAGGAGAGGGGAGGGGAGGGGAGGGGAGGAGAGGGGAGGGGAGGGGAGGGGAGGAAGGAGGGAGGGAAGGGAAGGGAAGGGAGGAGGGAGGGGGGAGGGAGAGAAGGAGAAAGAGAGAGGGAGGGAGGGAGGGAGAGAGAGAGAGGGAGGGAAGGAGGGAAAGAAGGAAGGAAGGAAGGAAGGAAGGAATGAGAAAGAAAGAGAGAAAAGCAGATGTCCCAAGGACAAATCCCACTGTGGACTGTTTAGTGGAAACCACTGAGAACTCTGGGACCTTGACTCTCTAAACAAGGCGCGGAAGCACCGGAAGCTGATGCCAGGCTGCCAGTCACAGTCGACAACGGCTGATGGAGCTAGGAGTGGTTGGTTGTTTCTCTGTGTCTTTACACTTTCCTGTCACTTTTACATTTTCTGTGAGAGCATTTCGAAAAGCAGAAAATCACTCAGGAAGAAGAGCCTAGGTCAAGCGCTCCATTTGGAGGCCTCACCATCATTACTGGATTTAATTTTTGTTTTCCTGCCTTGGAGCATCTTAGTTTTGTAAAATCCCAGTAGAAATTATCTTCCCAGGAGAAGGGAGGAACAGTGGAGG